CAGGAATGCACAGCTGGGAGTACAAAGGGGTGCACGTAGGTTGGTAAGAGCAGGATCTCCTCCTTAAGAAGCAGCAAAAGTAATATCGGATCACCGCATTATATAACGGCACCTTTATAAATAGGCAAGCAGGGACTTTACACACTTTTCTGTTCATCGCTATCCTGCTGCGTGATGGTCCTGGAGACATAGTGGGCTGGTCCTGGGACCAAGATCTGCACTGCAGGGAGTTGTAATCTGCCTCCATAGTGTGCTAGTTTTAAAAGCCGATTGTGGAATCATCAAGCATTTTGCAGTGTTGTATTGTCTTTGTGAGCTTATTCCCAGTCTGTACATCAATCCTGAATTGATTCAAGGCTGTTTTTAAGCCACCCTGTATGGCAGTTATTGACAGAAGAAAGCACTATAGCACACATTACATTTACTCCTCTGAAACCTTAAAAGGGATGTAAACAGTACTTCAGTTTTATACAAGCCTGTGCTGACTGAAGTTTAACTGTTTACTTGCTACTTCGAGAACTCATACTTTGCACTTCAGTGAGAAAGCATCCCACTTAGGCCAGACTTCTATCACTCTTTTTGGTCATAAAAGAAATTAAATAATAATTTCCTTATTCTTTTATTCTGGCTTTTCCCTTCTAATAACCCACGGCTACAATGAAGGTTCAAAGAAAAAATGGCTTTTCATGATCACTTTAAAGAGTCAGAAACATCACTTCCAACTTAAACATAAAACCACTGAAATACACTTCTGGCATAGTCAGCTCAAGCAGTAGTCAGTCTCAGTACAAAATACTTAAAAATGTTACACATTTTAATAGTTATAAATGTCAGGACACGTTCACCAGTAGCTAGAGGGGCATGCATCTGAGCCAAAAGGGGGAAGCCCTCTTAACGCTCCCAGCCTGTCCCAGCACTGAGTAGTTACTGAATCACCCAAGGAGAGATCACTTGTGAAACTAGATCACTAGTTACTTAGTTATTGCAAGGAATTTTACCATTTATATTAAACAAAACTGTTACGACATCCATTGTGCTGTGAGACTAATGAAAGCTTTGAAATTTGGGGAAAATGGAAGTATGTTGAAAGCATTTTTAGTGCATAATTTTTGCAGTTTTAATTAAGTTCCAGGAGAATAAAAAGAAAGGAAGAAAGAGGATTGAAGAAAAGGGGATGCAAAAGACTGGGAGAAAAAGGAAAGAACGAAGGAAACAAAAACGGAAGGAAAGCATTACTCGATAGGTAGTTTACCAGGAAACTTGCAAAAGGAGACAGTCAAAAAGGAACAGGCATTCATCTCCTATTCCATTTCAGTGAGACGCTGAATTCCTTGAGGTCAGCTGAGAACCCAGCCTGAACTTTGCTGAATCTGTAAATTCTGCAGGTCAGCGATCCTTGCTTCCCAGTATTTTTATATACTCTGATACCATTAATTATTATGCCTTTGGTACATTTTGTAAACATTTTAATCATGACTCTAACACACAAAACACTGTAGTACTGTAGCTTGCTTTTGTTCATCTAGGATTCACCAGTCCTGTTGGGAGGTAACCCCCACTCTGATTTACACCCAGAGCGCAACTAACTCATAGTTAGGAATTTAGGTACTTTAAACTTCCTCCCACCAGCACATGCAAATGACTGCAAGCACCAACAAGAGCTGCATTCTTGTAGCTGCCATCCTATCCCCGAAGACTCTTATGCGCCCCTTATGAGATTCAGCAAAACATCTTGTTGGGGTGCTGACTTACCACGCAGTTTTCTGCCTCCTGAGACTGCGCAGCGAACAGACCCTTTACCTGTTTCTTTCAGTTTACCAAACACACAGATGAAAAAAAATCTCAAGGACAAGGTCTAAGAGAAACTAGGTAAACTAGGTGATGGTAAAGAGAGGCGGCAGAAATTAAGACGTCAGAATTTTTATCCCTTCTTCTGTTACTGACGTGTGATTACAGAGAAGGCAGTTAATTAGCTTTATTTTTTTCTAATCTCTAAAACAGTACTAACTACTGATAATAAATGTATTTAGTAATGAAATATTTGAGGTTTTCACATAATGTGTATGAAATATACTTCACAATATATGATTCTCTTAGGCCTCATTTTCCAGTGCCTTGTATCTTACGCCAGATGTTTATACCAGCGTCTCATGAATGCAAAGTGCATATAAAATACTAAGTTTCTGTGGGTTTTATGATTTATGTTTGCTATGAACCGAGTGGGAGTCATAGAGCAATATAAAATTAGGCTACGGATTGCTTCAACAGGACAGCCAATTTATTGCTCTGGTTATATTAAAACCTCCCTCGGCAAGTTGTTAAGATGTTTGCCACCCTTACCGTTAGAAAGCTTTTTGCGAACAGATAACGGCAATCTTCCTTGTTGCAAATAAAGCACTTTTTATCTTCATATCCACCGAGAACTTGGAGATTCAGGTTGTTTTCTTTCCCTTTGCCAGAGACTTCCGTGGTTTTGAGTGCCGCTATTAGGTTTCCCTCCATTTTCTCTTCTCTAGAGGGAAGATCTCTAGCTTTTTAAAACTTTATCTTGTGCTTTCTTCCTTTCTCATGGCTCTTTCTGCTCTCCCTGGAGTACGCTGCCTGCTTGTGCTTTCACGAAACCTTTCCTGACGTGCTGTGCTCAGAACTCAGCCCAGGTTGCTCCAGCCAGATCACCCTTGCTGTTCACGCAGAGCAGGTGGACAACGGCAGGTGCTTACGGGTGCGAAGGGCGTGGGTTGGTTTGACGAACGTACATTGGCCATTTCATAAACAGTAGTAATTATTAATATTAGCTATGTGGGTAATTCTCTTATTATGCAAAGTGCTTTCAAAGGCTGTAATTATCTATTAACGGTAACGGGCGTTTGTAGGAGCAGGCACGTGTCCACCCGTTATTCTGCAACGCCTAATTCGGGATCTTCCAGCGGTGGCGGTCCCAGGGCAGGGCAGGGCAGGGCCCGCCCCGCCGCTCTTGGCAGCGGTCGCAGGAGAGGGCGAATTCGGCTGCTTCTCTCGCTAAACTTTTGCCCCTCTTCCAAAAAAAGGTCATTCCCGAGCCGACACCCGCCCTCTGCGGGGAGCTGGCAGGGTGGCGTGGCCCCTTCTAGTGAAAAACATGGTGCAACGG